TATTCTCCTCGCTTTTATAGCAAGTACACGAATATTACGTTATTTACTTTTTCATGTATCTTTTTTCTCTATATTCTTTTTATTTAAGATAATTACGGAAACAATCAATTCACTAAGGTGCCAAACGAGTAGCTTAGACACTAGATTTCCAGTGGCTCGGATTCGTCATCTGGTTATGCAATTACAAACTCTGCGTCAGAGCCCTGTATCTCGTGTTGGTGCCATCTCTGGAGCTCCTATTTCCACTACAATCACTGTAAAACCAACAAGCACGCTTCGTCTTAGCCTGGCTCAAATAAGTCCTCGACTTGTCGGATTAGGCAGTCGTGGCCACAGAGCAAACTGTTCAATCCCTTTGCCCGGCAGAGCTGGTGTTTGGCTCTCGAGACTCTCTAACCAGCTAGACGTTCTGCCAACCAAGACTCGTCCTAAGTGCCTCTGCCTGATCGGCACGGAAGGTATATCACACCCTTATCTACTTAAGGGTTTGGAAGATTTGCGCCTAGACGACCGAGTCATGCACCTTCTTCAGCTGGCTAATCTGGCCCTACGAAGTTTACCCCCAGGTCGGGGTGTGGCAAACTGCCGACAGGCTGAGCTCGCTGCTAATACATATGCTATAACTCCACTTGGAGTTCGCTCCGGCCTTATTCAAATGGTGCAAGGCGCCGTTCCACTATTCAGCCTCTACAAGCGTTGGCAGAAACGTCATCTTGCATCAACACCTGATGATACTAGCTTTCCTGCTGAAGCTTCCTCATCCAGTTCTTTAGTGGCTGTACCTCGCCCTGCAGAGCTTTTTCACAAACGCCTTCGCGATTTGCTTCCTGATGGACTAGCTGATCCTCAAAACCGAGCATCATGGCCCCTTGAAACATTGAAGCAAGTTCTCGCAAGTTTGGAACGCGAGACACCCGACGACTTACTTTCTAGAGAGCTTTGGGCTTCCAATCCATTATCTTCATCTGCATGGTGGCGCGCTTGTTGTAATTTTTCCCGTTCCAATGGGCTTTCATGTATGCTTGGCTACCTTGTAGGCCTAGGTGACCGACACCTGGACAACCTACTAATTGATTTCACTACTGGCCAGCTAATCCATATAGACTACAATGTATGTTTCGACAAAGGCCGCAGTCTTCGTGTCCCGGAGCGCGTGCCGTTCCGGCTGACGCGCAATCTGCGCCACCCACTCGGACCTAGTGCGATGTCGACAGTGTGGCGAAGGCCTCAGGTGAATGGAATGTTTCGTTCAGCCGCGATTTCCACACTTTCTACACTACGTGACATCGCAGATCCAATACTTATTCAACTAGAAGCTTTCCTGATTGATCCTTTGGTCGACTGGTTGCGCGATGATATCCCCTCAGATGCGAATGGAGGGGGTCCTGTCTACATAGATTCTGCTTTCATGGCGGCATATCGAGGAGGCGTGTATCTTGTTGGGGAAGAAAAAGATGATTCTCCCATATACGCTGCTGACTACTCATTGGCCGCACGAGCTCGTCGGGATCGCCGCTTCCGATCAGAGGCGTTGCAATACTGTTTATTGGCAGCCACTCGTATAGCCTTGCAAAAGCTACGACTAGACTCTAACCGCCATCTGTCGGCTGCTTCAACTCGTCTTTCTTCTTGTCTTGATGTTCTTCAGACGCGTTTAGCAGCCTGGGCATCTTTTAAGGCCGTAGATAATGATTGCATCCCGCTCCGTCGTCGTTTAGATATCATTGGACGTTTATGCGAACCTCAATCTCTTGCTGGATCTCGTCTAGCTGAACTTGAAGCTAGACAGTCTGCTTTTATAACTGCACAACATCAGTTACGCCGCATTAGTGATCAAGCTCGGTCATTTTTGACCGTTTGGTCCAACGATTTGCGACTCCTCGCATCTGGGTTTGCCTCTCTTGTTCACTCTGCTAGTATTACACGTCTTATGCTTGCTATTGAGGAAGCCAGGCAAAATTTCGACAGCGAGGAGCAGGCATTATCAGCAACCGTTGCCCAGCTTGTCTCAATTTTCTCCAAGTATTATAGCATCGCTTGTGGCTACCTGGGACGGTCCGAGGGTTTGCTGTCTGCCTCTTCTGTTCGTTGGAGTGAGGAACCTATTCGGTTACTCGAGGAATTTAGCACTTCAATTTCCGCCGAGTCTATAGATGCGGCCGATAACTTGGTCTCTGATTGGAACTTAGTTTCCACGAAGCCACTGCTTGTTATTGAAGCCAACAATGTCGATCGATTGACAACTTACCTAAATGACTGGATGCAGTCTCTTATCTACGAACTTTCCTGTCTCGAACCTGCCCAAACCCCTACTACTATTTCTGAGGACTTTGACACCGCTGTGATGCCTGATTTGAGCAACATTGGCT